AATAACTAAATTTCTGTGACAAATATGCTTTTCTAGTAACAAGAACATTATAAAGTTATTGCAGAGTCCTAAGGATAATCTAGTAGTCGCTATGTTTTTTTCTTAAGCCTTCACTTTAGATGCTGTTATTTCTAGCACAGGTAAACAGGTAGAGTCTTTTTTTTTTTTTTTTTTTTTTTTTTGGTTTTTCGAGACAGGGTTTCTCTGTGTAGCTTTGCGCCTTTCCAGGAACTCACTTGGTAGTCCAGGCTGGCCTCGAACTCACAGAGATCCGCCTGGCTCTGCCTCCCGAGTGCTGGGATTAAAGGCGTGCGCCACCACCGCCCGGCTTAGAGTCTTTGAAATACTCAAACACTAGAATCTTTGGTTGCTACCATATCATCTGGCTTTCAAGCAAGAAGCCAGCTTCTTAAAGAATGTTTTAAGTTAACAACTTGCAAACTCCAGCGTGAAAAACCCTATTTATTACATTTATTGAACATTTATTACAGCCATCACAAATGTGACTAAAGACTGTTCATGTCGTTCTTCTGAAATGAGATCTCAAAGGAGTATAGTTCAAAATAAAAGGTTTTAACAAAAAATTGGCATATACACAATTCGTGTGTCAACCATTTAGTTAACTTTTCCACTTGAAAAAAAAAATGCAATAGAAAGCCAGACACCATGTTTCACTACTTCATTTTAATATTCACAATTACAGAGGCTACAGCTCGGGGCCAGCATCAGCAATGCTGCCCAGGGCCAGTTTACACTGACATTCAGTTCTTTACACCAAGTAAATGGTTGTTGACAACCACTGGCTAGTGCATATGAACTAAAATGTCTGGTTTGGGGAGAAACAAATGCTTCAGTCGTCTGCTCTGCTGCTTCTCTTCCCCAGTTCATGCCTAGAAACTCGTGGGAGTGGGAGCTGGGCCTGCCCACCCTCCTCACTGGAAGAGGCTGCCGGCTGTGCTTTAACAGGGTCCAATCAAAAAGTGTAGTCGTATTGATGTTCAGGGTCCTGAAAAAGATGTGGAATGGCTGCCTCAGACATGTAATCTGGAGCTTCCTCAGAGTGCAGCCCACAACAGTCATTTAAGTTCATGGTAAATTCTGCAGAAAGCCCCTTACTCAAAACTTCAACAGAAGGGGACATCTTCTTTTCACTAATGTTTTCATATTTTTACTTCTTTGTCTCAGCCTTTAGCCCTCATAGAAGCATCTTTACCCGCTAAGCCATCTCGCTGGCCCAATCCTACTGTTTTTTGCTCCTTTCTCATTTCTTGCTTTATCACTTTGATGTGTTGTCTGTAATTGTCATTCTGTTAGTAGTTATAAAACCAGGTGTGATACTTGCTTTTAATCCCAGCTGTTGGGAGGTAGAGGCAAGGCAGATCTTAGTGAGTTCAGGGACAGCCTGTGCTACATAGTGAGTTCCCAGACTTGTCAGGGCTACACAGTGAGTCTCTGTCTTAAAAAACAAACAAAAACTCATACATGTGAGTTTGTAGTTACAGATTCTCGTTCTTCTCTGAGTGATTTCCTAAGAGATTACAATATACATGCTTCCTATTCTAATGTGTATAGTGTTCGTATTTTCTGTCTTCCTGAAAAATGCAGATTCCAGGATATGTATTATAATTTTCTTCTTCCAGTTTACATTCCTTTTTGTTGTGCATTTAAGGCACTGTTACTATTAATTTGTATACCAGCAATGACCATTTAGATTTATCTTTCCTATTAATCTTTTTTATAATGTTTTACATTGTAACTATATAAATGATTTTGTCAGTTAAAAATTGTAGCACCATGAATGTATCTTTTTATCGGGAAGACAGTTGTTAACGGAAACTATGGAGACTGAGCTGGCCTTATCCTCAGAGCAAACCTCCTGTTTCCACCTCTCAAGTGCTGAGATTACAGGTGTGAGCCACTATGCCCAGGTATCTTCTGTTCATCTTGAACTCAACTCTTTGACAGTAGAAAGTTCTGATGATATTTCTAGTGGTGATACATTATCTTGTCATTTTTAATAGTCTATGTCTTTACTTACCTTCATACTTGAAGGATATTTCAGTAACTAGTTTCTGTTCTGGCAGTTGATTGGAATGTAACAGTCTGTGTTACCCAGATTGGCCTCAGCCTCCAGAGTCTTCCCTTGGAGACATGGAGCCTGGGCCCAGCTTTGTGGGCATTCCTCACATAGAGTGCCTTCTTTTATCTGTCTGCCATTCTTGTCTCTCCTCTAATGTTGGCTCCATACTTCTAGGTGTTTGGTTTGTTTTCTGGTTTTTGGTGTTTGTTTTTTTTTGTTTTGTTTTTGTTTGGTTTTTTTTGAAACAGGTTTCGCTGTGTGGCCCTGGCTGTCCTGGAACTTGCTTTGTAGACCTGTCCTGGAATTTACAGAGATCCGCCTGCCTCTGCCCTCTTGAGTGCTGGAACTAAAGGTACATGCCACTACGCCCAGCACTTTCAGCTCTTTTCAGTTAGCTAATTCTCTGGTAGAGCTTAATTTGCTGTGAAGACTGTCTTTGGATTAACAATTTCTGATCAGCATTTTTAGTTCTAGTACTTAAATTTCACTCTTCAGCGCTTGATATTTGAAAGGTCTATTTTGCCCAGGTTGGGCTCAAGCTTCTTGACTCAAGTGATCCACCTGTCTCCACCCCCTCAGTCGCTGGGACTACAGTCATGGTCAACTGACATTTCCTCTGTTTGTGTGTGTGTGTGTGTGTGTGTGTGTGTGTGTGTGTGTGTGTGTGTGTGTTTCTATTTATTTTATTTGTTTGTTTATTGCTTTTTGAGACAGGGTTTCTCTGTAGACCAGGCTAGACTCAACTCAGAGATCCGCCTACCTCTTACTCCCAAGTGCTGGGATTAAAGGCATGGGCCACCACTGCCTGACTCTGGCCTCCAGTTCTTGTTCATTCTCTGTCAGGCTAGGATTACAGGTGTGTGTCACCTCTTCTGTGTATTTAGTCATTTTTAAAGGTCTACTGTGTCAGTTTTTTAAATCTTTTTTCTGTTTTCAGCATGAAAAGCAGAACTCTGTCTAGAGTTCCCTTAGGTTCCTTGGGTGTCTTTGGTTTTTGTTCATTTTCAATCTAGTTCCTTTGTTTCTCATGTACTCGGATTATTTTTAGGGTTTTTTTTTTGTTATTTTGTTTAATTTTTAGACATTAATATCTATGGAGATGGTAGTCTGTTAAGAATAACAGTCTTTGCCCAGAGAAGGTTTACATTTGCTTCTCTTGTCAGGGTTGAAAAGGATTTCAAGCTGGGTTGTACATCCCTTGGGAATCCATCTGCCTTAGGTTTACCTGTGCTCTAGAACTGGCTCCCAGGAGGAATGCAGTCTTAAGAGTGAAACTCAGCGCTTAAGAATCCCATCCTTGTAGCATGGATCTTAAAGTTCTTATTAATAAGATCGAACCCGGACCAGGTATTGGGGTGAACACTGGAAGATCAGAGAGACAGAACAAGCCACAGCTAACCTCCTCACCTGGCCAACTTCTCAGCTGGTCCTGTTTCCTCAGACTGGAAGCTTCTGTGTTCTCATCCCAATGGCTCTCAGCTGAACTGCTGCTTGAAAGCCTGAAGCTTAACCAGCTAAAAGCTTCTAGTTTCTGGTCCTCACGCCTTATATACCTTTCTGCTTTCTACCACCACTCCCTGGGATTAAAGGCTCACTTTCTGGGATTAAAGGCATGAGTCACCATGCTTGGCTGTATCCTTGAACACATGGATTTCTGCCTCTGGAATGCTAGGATTAAAGGCGTGTGCTACCACTGCCTATCCTAAGTATCTAGTGGCTTTTCTGTTCTCTGACCCCAGATAAGTTTATTAGGGTACACAATATTTTGGGGAACACAATACCACCACACATCCTATTTTATCCTTTTAGCTGTTAGCTTGTAAACATCTGTAAGTAACTTGCTGACATAGCTGTTTTCTTCAGGGAAAGTTTTTGGTTTTCATTTTTTGGTTTTGGTTTGGGTTTTTTGGCCCTTTGGAGGGTTTTTGGTTTTGTTTGTTGGTTGGTTTTGGTTTTTGGCCTTTTGTTGGCAATGCTGTTTGATTTTTACTATAACTTCCCTATTTTCGTTACAGTTGAATATGGTTCAAATAGACTATATCTAAACAGGCACTGAATTTCTTATTGATAATAAGTCACAATAAGTGGATTGAATATATAAAGTTAGGCATTAAAAATACTGCCTGAAAAGAAAGTCACATGGAAGGTTAGTAAGGTGGCATATAACTTTGAAATTATAAAACTGTTAGTTGGGAATTGATAATGTAGAAATGAAGCAAAATCCAAAGGACACATAATCCATCATGGTTTTTGTGTTTACTCTCATATCTTTTTTTAATAATTTATTTATTCTCATTTTATGTACATTGGTATTTTGCCTGCATATATGTCTGTATGAGGAGGTCAGATGGAGTTACAGACAGCTGTTAGCTGCCATGTAGATGCTGGGAATTGAACTGGGGTCCTCTGGAAGAGCAGTCAGTGCTCTTAACCACTGAGCCACCTCTCCAGCCCTCTCTCCTATCTTTATATTCCTGTTATTTTTACTTTCACTATGTCTAGAACCTTTGTTCTGGATCTTGTAAACAAATGCAGAGGTAAGAGGTCCTAGGATTTAGCATGTGTACAGGAAATACTGGCTTGGTGTGATGACCCAGCAGTTGAGAGTGCTTGTTGCTCTTCTGGAGGACATGAGTTCGGTTCCTAGCCCTCAACCATCTGTAACTCCAGATCCCAGGGTCCAGGGGATCTGACACTTTATTGACTTCTTCTGGCACACACGGTGTATATACAAACATGATGGAAAACACTCATATAGGTATAATAATTAAACCTAAAATAAATATTAAGTGAATGAAAGCATGTACAGTATTAGAAATTCTCTTATTCATTTGCTTGTTATGAAAGGAAACAAATGTTAGTACTTTGAACTCATTTACTCTTTGTTAAAAAATTATTGTTCTTACCTCTTTATTTTTAGGGAAAAAACAATCCCTAACAAAGTTGGGACATACTGTATCCAGTTTGATTTTATGATCGATAAAACAAATATGCTCAACAGCGAACAGGTTTGTATTCTTTATTTTTTATGTACCATGGTATTTACTCACTTTATAAATGAAGTATTTGGTTTTAAAGTGAATTAATTATTGGACGCAAAATATAAATGCAAAAGTCACTTCCCTATTCAGGGGAGGCATTTCAAGACCCCAGTGTGTCTCTGAAACCACAAGCTACTAAACTCAGTTTTCTCCCGTTTATGCTTTCTTATGATCAAGTTTGCTAAAGTAGACACACTGAGAGATTAGCAACAATAATAAAATCAAATTATTAATAATATACCAAAGTAAGCTATGATATCTTATAAAATAATTATTTCTAAAATTTTCCATTTAATATTTTCAGAGCAATGGTTGATGACAGATAACTGAAACCATTGCAAGTGAAACTGGTTAAGCAAGGATTTTTATAATAAGATTTTTTTTCAGAATAATTAGGATAAAATAAACTTATTTTTAAAAAATTAATGGAATTTTTCAGGATAACTTTTTATTTAATATATATTGTCCTTTTCTCTTCCTCTGAAATAGTATTCCTAAGAATGCATTGTTAATATGAATGTTGCTTTTGTTTTTAAGGTTATAATTGATGTTCTGCCAAATGAACCTATGAAGTTGGTTCCTGACATCCAACCAGCTACTCCAGCTGTTTCTAATGTTCGCTTAATTGCCAGCAGGACCTTGGTCAAAGACCTACATCTCAGTATTACGGTAATGTCTATGTCTTCTTCAAACAACTACAGAGTTTAACGAGAGTAATTGGCTTTTATATTCAGGTTCAGAATGGCTATTATAGAGTAATATCAATAATTTAGTTTAAACCTACAAGAAAACCTTGAATAAAAGGTTAAATATTTATAAACATTTTTTGTATTGAGTTATCAATGAATAGAGAATATGTCTTGTTTCTGATTTATACATGCTCTTCTCTAAGTTGTCTGTCTTCTAATTAGTTATTTTTCATTGTGTATTTTAAGGATAATTATGGTAATCATACTGGAAGGAATTTGGTTGGCACTGTAGTAGCTACCATTAAAGGTTTTAATGAGGAGGACACTGATACTCCACTCTTCATCGGGAAAGTTAGGACACTTGAATTTCCCTTTGTGAATGGTTCTGCTGAAATCACAGTAAGTTTCTTAGATCTTTTCCAACATCCATACCACCTGTATTTTGTATATATACCAAGGAAGATGTCCTCATGTTTTATGTTTGGTGCAGTAAATCTAAAAATCAGTGAGATATTTGTGATTTTGCTATTACAAATTGGACCCAGAACCATCATTACTCAGATCTTCTTCCATGTAGGGTGACAGATAGCTTTCTCTTATTGTGCTGATTTTTCAACCTTAGTGACAATATAATATTTGTATTATGTTGTAAAGTACTACTATTATACAGACAGAAACAATAGAATAAAGGTGAGATAAAAATTTAATAAATTGGGGGCTGGAGAGATGGCTCAGAGGTTAAGAGCACTGACTGCTCTTCCAGAGGTCCTGAGTTCAATTCCTAGCAACCACATGGTGGCTCACAACCATCTGAAATGAGATCTGGTGCCCTCTTCTGGCCTACAGTCATACATGTTGTACACATAATAAATAAATAAATCTTAAAAAAAAAAAAAAAAATTTAATAAATTAGCCGGGCGGTGGTGGCGCACGCCTTTAATCCCAGCACTCGGGAGGCAGAGCCAGGCGGATCTCTGTGAGTTCGAGGCCAGCCTGGACTACCAAGTGAGTTCCAGGAAAGGCGCAAAGCTACACAGAGAAACCCTGTCTCGAAAAAAAAAAAAAAAAAAAAAAAATTAATAAATTACTAGCCTATCATTGTTATTTTTCTAAAATGAAATAGTTTGTTTTCTATCTTTAAAAATGCAATATAAAAAAAAACCTCTATAAGGGGCTGGAGAGATGGCTGAGAGGTTAGGAGCACTGGCTGCTCTTCCAGAGGTCCTGAGTTCAATTCCCAGCAACCACATGGTGGCTTACAACCATCTGTAATGAGATATGGTGCTCTCTTGTGGCCTGCAGACATATACACAGGCAGAACACCACATATAATAAACAAACTAACTAACTAACTAATTAATTAATTAATAAAGATTTTTAAAAAAAAAAAAACCTCTATAAGTAATTGTTATATTGTTAACCTACAGAAATAACAGTGATTGGCCCTATAGTGCAAAATCATCTAGTTACATTATGCACATTAGTGTGGTGTAGTGCTTTCAGTATGTGATGGAGGATATTAATTTTTTGAGGGTACTGAATTTTCCTAATATAATAGGACCAAGCTTTTGCAATAATCTTCTATCTTGTTTAGCTTATTTTTGATATATTTCTCCTTTGTTAAATAAAAGCCTATGTCATTAATGAAGTGACTACACGTATTTTCATCAGTCCTAGGTACAAATTTATTTTCTTTCCAAGGTTTATTTTCTTATGAGAAATGTTTCTATCAACTTTCTTCTATGTGTTGATTTAGAATGGTTGGTTGGTAGGTAGACAGATAAATAGATACTGATTTATTTATTGATTTAAAGTGACTGGCCATAAAATAATACACGTTTTAAATATTTTATTGTGATTGCAAGTATTTTTTATTTAGATTTCTACCAAAACTATATGTACTATGGGGGGCAGGGAAGGAGTGTTTTCCAGGATGACCTTAACTTCATGTCTTCCTGCTGAGTACTGGGATTACAAGAATGTGCCACCACACCAAGTACTTCTTACTTGCAACATTGGATATGAAAAGTTCTTTTAAAATTCTAATCACATTTACAATTTATTTTTGTGGACATGGTGATGTAGGCTTGTAACCCTGGCAGAGGTCAGGCTGCTGAAGCAGGAAGGTTAGGTTTGCTTGTGATACAGACTGAGGTTAAGGCCTTCCTCGAGCAATGTATTGACATTCTTTATCAAAATTAAAGTGGGCTGTGAATGCCTGGGGTTGTAGCTCTTTGTTAGAGTACTCAAGTACAAGGCCCTGGCCTTGGTTCCCAGCAATATTCTTTTTTAAATATTGGACAGTGTTAGTTTTTAGTATTTCTAGGTGTGTGTGTGTGTGTGTGTGTGTGTGTGTGTGTGTGTGTTGGTGGCCCATACAATCACAATGCTCCAGTATTATTTTTTTTATATCTGTTTCTTTTCTTTTTTCTTTTTTTTTTTTTAATCTTTGATTTAGGGATGGAGAGATGGCCCAGCAGTTAAGAGTGCTTACTGGTCTCCCAGAGGACTGGAGTTATGTTCCCAGGTCACAATACCTAAACTCTAGCTCCAAAGGATCCAGTGCCTCTATCCTCTGTAGGCATCTGCACTCAAGTGCACATACCCACATGCAGGCACACACACCTACCTACATATAATCAAAAATCATTTTAAATTTTTTCTTAAATCTTTTTTTTTTTTTTTTTTTTTTTTTGGTTTTTCGAGACAGGGTTTCTCTGTGTAGCTTTGTGCTTTTCCTGGATCTCGAGCTGTAGACCAGGCTGGCCTCGAACTCACAGAGATCCACCTGGCTCTGCCTCCCGAGTGCTGGGATTAAAGGCATGCGCCACCACCGCCTGGCTTTTCTTAAATCTTTAAACAGACAAAAAAATCTTTTATTTTGATCCTTTTTCCAATTCATTAATTTTTTTAGGGTTTTTATTAAGTAGTTCAGTGTATACCAATAAGTGCCAATAGTACCTTTTATTTTTTGTTGCCTACCCTTGTATATAACCCATTTCAAATATTTAATTGTTTCAGTACTTTAGGCTTGTAAATTGGGAGTCTTCCAGCTGTATCTATCCTAAAGACTTGTTGGTCTGTTAGGCAGTGACTGACCAAAACATTTTCATTAATTGAAATGTTACTAACATTTAAAAGTGTATATTTTTTATGTAAAGATCTGCACTTGTAATATGGAAATCTACAGAGTTGGCATCACCGTGTAGGAGGCCTGGACAGTGACTGCTGTTCTCAGTCTGTTTTGTACCATGCCGCTTCTTTTCATCTCTGTCTACTGCGGACCAGGGTCTGTTGTCACTGTTGTCAGCTCTTCATAGTTATTCTTGTTATAAAGGAGAATAGGTGCATTTCTCCTGCACCGTAATAAAATTAAGTTAGGAAAGTCACACACACTTTTTTTTTTTTTTTTTTTTTTTTAAAGAAGGTAAGCTTGTTTAACATGCAGAGTGAGCTGGAGTTGGAAGAGCACACCAAGCCTCATTTTCCTTGTGCCTCCCTCTTCCTCCCCCATGCGCATTTGAAATTGTTCTGCCTGGTTAAGACAGAGACTTAGCTATTTCCCAAAGCTGCATTTAAAATCTAAACTTCGCCGGGCGGTGGTGGCGCACGCCTTTAATCCCAGCACTCGGGAGGCAGAGCCAGGCGGATCTCTGTGAGTTCGAGGCCAGCCTGGGCTACCAAGTGAGTTCCAGGAAAGGCGCAAAGCTACACAGAGAAACCCTGTCTCGAAAAACCAAAAAAAAAAAAAAAAAAAAAAAAAAAAAATCTAAACTTCATGTGTCTGGATTTTCCCTCGCCACCAGAGGTCCTTCCTGTTCCTCTGAATGAATAGAAAAGTCTTGTTTTCCTTGGCTTCCACATGTCCAGTGCTAAGTGGATGAGAGGAAGACTGTTAGTTTATATTTGTTTCAGACTTATTTTGGTGGCTGGGTGCTAGGAATTGAACATTATGTCTCCATCCTTTAGTTCAGTTAAAAGAAGTAACATTGTGTTGATAAAAACAGAATTAAAAAGTAGCAGTATGTTGATAATTTTTGGCACTAGATCATGGGTATCAAAATACTTCACTAACTAATTCTATAATAGAAAAAGTGTAATGGTTGATAAAAGTGTTTTATCCTATATATGGCTATACATGTGTTAGATTAATTAATAAAAGTGTTTTATCCTATATATGGCTATACATGTGTTAGATTAATTAATAAAAGTGTTTTATCCTATATGTGGCTATACATGTGTTAGATTCATTTATTGAACATGTTTTTGAAACCTGACAAACTGCAAAATCTATTTTAAAAGGCATTCTAGGATAAAAATAAATGAGTAAAGAAAATGAATAATTTAGAATAAATGGCCATTAAAAACAAAAAAAGATGATCTTGGTAATGCTCAAGAAGCTAGTTAAAGCAAAAATAGAGTGAAATGCTCACCCTCACCAGGGGGATTGGTGTTTTTATACATTGCTAATGAAAAGGTAAACTATCTGATACAGCCTCTTTCCCCTTTTTAAGGAATATTTGATATCTAGTAAAATAAATTTTTAACTAGCTATATCTCTTACCCTAGAAAACAAATTTGCAAGGAAACAATCAGTGATATACTTTCTTCCTATTTCCTAGTAATTGTTAAAAATTTCAAGCCAAGTGTTTACCACCCAAAGACTGAGTGCTATAGTATGGTTTATCTGTATTATTCATAAACATTTTACATCAGTAACATTTTATGAATTGCTATTAACAAATCAAGTTTAAGCAGACAAGTTAAGGTTTATGTTACTTTTAGAAACTATTTTTATATGTACTTACATTCCTGTATATATATTGCTAATAGTTTTAAAATCTGAGTGGAACTGAGAATTGACTTATTCATAACTTAATGTTCTCTAATTTTTAAGAAAAAGAATTCTAAGTGTTGTTTATAATTTTATGTTTTATGCTCTATAGTATTCTATCAGTTTAGGGTTTTTTTAAAAATTGTAGTATATTCTGAAGAACAAAGAACTTAAGGTCTTTTTCTACAGAACTGAAAATACAGTTGAATTAAAATGTTTATAGTTGCATCAGTCGCTAATTATATGTTTTGATCTTAAGCTCAGATATACTTTTTGTGAATTGAAGAAGAAATAGAAAAGTGTAAAAACAAGTCTTGAAGCATTTTCAGGGGCCTCTTGTTCTGTCACCTGGGACTGGTCTCCCATGGTAACCACTGTAACCTAAACTCAGCTTTGTGCTTTGAGTATTTCTTTGTGATTGTTTTTATATCTGTCACTCCATTAACTATTTTACCCTGCTTCAGCCTAAAGGTTTGGATGAAAATAATTCTGCAGGTCAAGATAGAAGTGGCCACTGATATAGACAGAGTGATGGGAAATAGAGCTTTTTCTTAGAATTTCCTGTTACATGTGATTTTTTTGCTTAGTTGTACTCATTACATCATTTGGCTCTCCAGTAATATCAGTGGTAAAAAATGTTTATGTCTTGGGTGTTGTTGTTGATGGTTTGGTAAATCTGAAGAATCAGCCAGTGTTGTTCATGTTCAGATTTTCCTGCTTGTTTGGTAGCCACATGACAACATATGTAACATTGGAATGTCTCCTTTTTTAAATCTTGTTTTTCTCATTCCCTTTTCCCTTACAGACTCTAGTGCTGGCAGAAAATAGTCCTGGAAGGGATAGCACTGAATATTTTATTATCTTTGAGCCTCGGCTGTCAACTTTATCAAGAACATTAGAGCCTTATAGCCTGCCATTTATGTTTTATGATGGTAAGTCTTAGGGAAATAGGTTATTAAACTCTGTTGTTAATGGTTCTTCAGATAACCTTGTTTTGCTTTCCATATGCATAATATTATGGCATATGACATTGGTAAAGTCAGTTTCTATGCTGTTTAAATTATCTGAAATTTTTTCCTTAGATGTTAAAAAGCAGCAACAAATGGCAGCACTTACGAAGGAAAAGGACCAGTTATCGAAGTCCATCATTATGTATAGAAGTCTCTTTGATGCCAACAAGCAGCTTGTTGATGAAATGAAATGTAAGTCACCCTGTATTCAAAGATAATGAAACATTAGGCTTTGAGCAGGTGAGGCGGGGGTAGAGACCATTTGTCTTTCCTTCAAACAGAAGTAAAATGGTAAGTACTACAGAAGGGTGGTAAGGACAGCTGGTTCATTGTCACTTGGCAGTTTTTTTTTTTGTTTTGTTTTGTTTTTGTTTTGTTTTTTTGGGTTTTTTTTGGTTTTTCGAGACAGGGTTTCTCTGTGTAGCTTTGCGCCTTTCCTGGAACTCGCTTTGGAGACCAGGCTGGCCTCGAACTCACAGAGATCCGCCTGGCTCTGCCTCCCGAGTGCTGGGATTAAAGGCGTGCGCCACCACCGCCCGGCTCCACTTGGCAGTTTTTAACACGAAGTGTCCTTGTTTTAATTAAGCTTGTGGCAGGCTTACAGATTATAAAAATTGGAAGTTTTCCTCTAGAAATGTGGACGGACCTGTGGAAAATTTAAGGCTTTTTTGACAACATTGATAACTAACTTATCTAGCTCTAGCTTCTGGCAAAAGGTGTCACTGGAGGAATGATAAGTAATTTAACTTTTAGTTTTAATCATGGGTTCACAAGCACTGAAAATGAAATATTGAATTTATTCATGAGTTAGTCCAGAAAATGTTTGCTGTCTTTTACAATGATTTTTATATAATAAGCCATTTTTTGAATTGTGCACTGTTACCTGTTTTTCATTTGTCAGATGTTTTTACTGTGGGTTTTAACTTGTGTTAGTTTTATACTTTTTGTTTTGTTTTGTTTTATACCCACCCCCCTTGCCGAGACAGGGTTTCTCTATGTAGCCCAGGAAGTCCTGGAACTCACTTTGTAGAGCAGGCTGGCCTTAAAACTCATAGAGATCTGCCTGACTCGGCCTCCCAAGTGCTGGGATTAAAGACCTGCGCCACCACCTACCTGGCCAAAGGTTTTTATTTTTACATGTATAGGTGTTTTGCCTCCGTATATGTCTGTGCCTCGTGCCCGCAGAGGGCAGAAGAAGGTGTATAGATCCTGTGGAACTGGGGTTCCAGGCAGTTGTGAGCTGCCATGTGAGTGCTGGGAATTGAACCCAGTGCTCAGAACCACTTGTGTCCTTTGTATAGAGTGTTTATAGATTCTTAAATTGACTCCGAAGGCACATCTTGGGTTATGTAGCTCATGTATCCATGTGTGGGATCAAGATTAAATAACACCCAAAGTCATAGGAGTTTGCAGTATGATACCATAGTATCTCCCAATGCATTAATTTTCTTTCTCTTTATGTATCATTGAATCTTGAGATTTATAGCTTAACTTGGCAGTGATCAGTTGTCAGTTTTCATTTTAATATTAAACTTTAAAAGGAAAATGTAGTTGTAAACTTTTTTTTTTAAAGCTATATTTTAAGGACTAATTTAATTAAGAGAGGGGGGTGGGGAAGAGAGAGAGAGAGAGAGAGAGAGAGAGAGAGAGAGAGAGAGAGAGAGAGAGAGAGAGAGAGAGAGAGAGACTGGACCAATGGCTTAGCAGTTAAGAGCACTCACTGGCTGCTCTTCCAAATGACCTGGTTTCAATTCCCAGCTCCCACATGCCCGCTCACAACTCTCTGTAACTATAGTTTCAGGGAATCTGACACTCACAAAGACATGAGTGTGGACGAAACACCAATGTACATAAAATAAAATTAAATAAAATCTTTTTAAAAAAAAAAATTTTTCTTTTTCTTTTAAATTTTAGGCCAAGTTGAAGAAGCAAAATTAAAAGAGGTCCAGCTGAGAAATGAACTAAAATCACACAATATTGATATTCCTACAACACAACAGGTAAAACTTCCAAGTATACATTAAATTTTTTCATTAAATTTAACTACTTGTTTTGTTAGGAATTCTGTAGACACTGTTGTCTTTAACTTTATGGCGTGTGTGTGCAACTACTTGTTTTGTTAGGAATTCTATAGACACTGTTGTCTTTAACTTTATGGTGTGTGTGTGTGTGTGTGTGTGTGTGTGTGTTGTGCATACATCTGTCATGCTTGTGCAGTCCGTACTTGTACCATGTTTTACACATGGAAGTTAGAGGACAGCTTTGTGGAATTTGTTCTCTCCTTCCATCTTCATGTGGATTTGGCGAATCAGACTTAAGACTTGGGAGCGAACATTTGTCCTCTAACCTCTACATGTGTATCATGGTGCATATACATAATACACACACTCCATATGTTTGATTGATTGATTGATTATTTCATGCATATGAGTGTTTTGCCTGCATGTAGACTGGATCACCTGGAACTGGAACTGGGGCCTTGAACTGGTTGTGAGCCACCATATGGGTTCTGTAAATTGAACCCCAATCCTCTGTAGGAATAGTAAATGCTCTTAACTGCTGAGGCATCTCTTCAGCCCCACAGTGTTACTAGGTAATGCAAAATAGTATAGAGGACTTCTTAGCTCATTGTCTTCTGTGTGTGATTCAGTTTCAGAGAGAAGACAACTACATAGTCTGTTTATTTTTATCTTTTTTTTTTTTTTTTTTTTTTGCTTTTTGCTAGTCAGTCTTTCTATGTGGTTCAGACTAGGTTCAAATTCTTTCTCCCCCAATCTTGTGAATCCTGGGGTTACATGTGGAAACCACTAGATCTGGCTAGGCAGTATATTTCATAGTTAAGATTATAGAACATCATTGAATGGACAGCTAGGTGTGAGTGTGAGGTTAGGATGTATAAGAGTCTAACATAAATGCCAACATTGCCCCTTTTCCTCCTCAAAAAAAACTTTCTATCCTTGAGAGGATAGCTTAGTGATCGAGTACTTTCCTACCATGACATGGTCTTCAGTTTGTGACCCAGTATCCCTGATAAATATTTAATGGGCGTATGATAGGAGTTTTCCATCACTATTAACTATAGTTTTGTTGCTTATAAAATAGTGCCTATTTTAACAACTTTTTAGCTGGGCAGTGGTGACTCACACCTTTAATCCTAGCACTTGGGAAGCAGAAGCAGGCAGATCTCTGTGAGTTTGAGGCCAGCCTGGCCTGTAGAGCGAATTTCAGGACAGCCAGAGATACACAGAGAAACCCCGTCTCAAACACCCAAACACACACACACACACAAAGAAAAGAAAAAAAAAAAAAAAAAGACTTTCTCAAGTACTCCAAATTACTGGTTTTTCCTCTATCCTGGGCTGCCTGTTATAAAAAACAATTGACCTTGTAGATAAATTTTCTTTAATTACAGATACCTCACATTGAAGCACTTTTGGAAAAAAAGATAACAGAACAAAATGAACTAAAAAAAAAGCCCAGAAGATCATGTACTCTTCCAAACTACACTAAACGCAGTGGAGATGTTTTGGGAAAGGTTTGTGATTTAAGCTTTTTAAGAAATAGTACATTCTTGTTACCTTACTTTGTTTAAAATATGTCTGTCCTCCCTCTGAACCCAATTCTGAGGACTGAATCGGGGCTGTTCATGCACTAGACAGCACTCTGCTACTGAGCTTCCCCCAGGCAGCATGTCTATTTTCTTACTTTTTTCCCATTAATGCCTTGTAAATTAGAAAACTAGGGTAGATACTATGATGTATCTGTAGTGAAATAAAAGCCTTGTTTCTATGAGAATAAATGGTAGGCCTAATTATACCAACACAATGCAGAGGTTTTAGAAGTGGCCATAGTATCCCAATAGTAGCAGGCTTAAAGCAGGAATGCTTGTGACCACAGGCAAGTATTTGTAAGTAAGAAAATGATTTATTCTAATTCCTAATAAAGCAACAATTCTTAGAAAGGTATTTTAAATAATATGCTTAATGAATCTTGAAACTTTGTATTGCATATCTTTAAGTGTACTTCGTGATTACCAAGATCTTCCCTATTATAGACATTGAAATGTGAAATAAGTGTATATTTAATTAGCTGACAAATTTTGCGTCATTATTTGCTTATTTTGCAAATTTACTGTTGGTTAATATGTAGAAAATTTTTCTAAAATTTTAACAGAATAGACAGTTTAATGGATTCTAGTCAGTGTAAATGTCTACAGCTTTGTTTTTCTTTCTATTTATGTTTGTATTTGTTTTGTTTTTCTTTCTGTGTAGCTTGAATTAGTCTTAACCTTTGGAATCCTCCTGTCTCAGCCTGCCAGTTGCTGGGATTACGGTGGATGCCAGCACACTTGGCTGATGTTTTCTTTAGTCATGCTTCAGATGGGGTTCTTCTTTGTTGTTGTTCTCTAATGGTAAGACTTTCAAAAACGATGTTTTTTGTTTTTGTTTTTTAATTTCTGTGTGTTTTTATTAAAATGGCTTCAGATCGCACATCTCGCACAAATTGAAGATGATCGAGCTGCAATGGTTATCTCTTGGCATCTGGCAAGTGACATGGATTGTGTGGTCACCCTGACCACTGATGCTGCACGCTCTATCTATGATGAAACTCAAGGTCGTCAGCAGGTGTTGCCTCTTGATTCTATTTATAGGAAAACTCTTCCAGATTGGAAAAGGTTAGGAAAAAAAAAAAAGAAAGTAATATTCATTGTCTACTTTGTTGTTTTGCAGTGCTTGGGGTCAAACCTAGGGCCTCACACATGCTGAATACAAGTTAAACTACCTTCTCAGTAAGACTGTGGATTTAAATGATGTGATTTTATTGACATAACAGACTTTTATTTTGAGTTTCTACTTTTCCTTCCCATCCTAACTCACACCCATTACAAGCCATTACCTACCACACTCCTGTTAAATTGGTACTCATTTTAGACAGCATAGGAAATCAACACATCAAAAGAACTGTGTTGATAAGGGTAATACTTGGTGTTTTCAGGTGTATGCAAGTACACATGCACATGTGTGTGCATGTATATGTATGTAGGCCAGAGGTGGACCAGGAATCATTCACTTTGTTTGTGAGACAGTTTCACTGGCTTTGGGGCTCACAGATTCTGCTAGATTGGCTAACCAGTGAGCTCCAGAGATCCAACTGTTGCCACACCCCACAATACTGGGATTATTAGTTCATGGCGCCACACCAAGGTTGTCATACTTAAACTGCATGTACTTTACTGATTGAGTTCTCTCTCCAACCCTAAAGGTGATACTTTTTATGAGAAAACTTTTCCATTGAGGAAAGCCGCCTCTGTCTTAGTAATTCCTGAAGACCCAGTGGGGCAAATGCTGGAGAGATGATAGCTCAGTCAATAAAATGCTCATCACACTATCCTAAAGAACAGAGTTCCAACACCAGCACCCACCTGGAAACCAGGTGTGGCACACACATCTATGATCCCATTGCTCAGGAGACAGAGACAGGAGGATCCCTGTAGTTTGTTGGTTAGCTAGTCTAGCCAAATCATTGAGTTCCAGGTTCAATAAATAGATCTGCTCAAAAAATAAAATGAAGAATAATTGAGGAAGCCGCTCGACCTTTTCCTCTGGTCTACACACACACCTGAGGACCATTGTGCTTATACGCAAGAACTACACAAGATCAAGATCAAGCCAGTCAGCATTCTAGCATGGAGGAGGAAGGGGCTCACAAGCATCCACCCCTAGCTGAGGACCTATTGACTGTTAATGGCACCTGAGAAGGAACAGTCAGTTTTCTTTAAGGGTTTGGCCCCTGGTAAGTTGACCATGCTCAGTGGGTAGTCCCACACTCATGAGTATATGGGCAGCACAGATCAGACTTGGTGAATTATTTAAAAAAGAGGAGGTAGGCCGGGCGGTGGTGGCGCACGCCTTTAATCCCAGCACTCGGGAGGCAGAGCCAGGCGGATCTCTGTGAGTTCGAGGCCAGCCTGGGCTACCAAGTGAGTCCCAGGAAAGGCGCAAAGCTACACAGAGAAACCCTGTCTCGAAAAACAAAAAAAAAAAAAAAAAAAAAAAAAGAGGAGGTAGGCAGGGAGATGGATCTGGGAGGAGTTAGAGGAAGTGGTAAGAGGTGAATGTGATAAAAATATATTGCATGTATTAAATTCTTAAAATTATAAAAATATTAAAACCTGATATAGGCAAGCATGAATTGATGTGCAGGATTAAAGTTTGCTCTAGAATGTTGGCTCTATTTCTGTTTAGTAACCCTACACTCCCTCTGGGGAAGATATAGTTCACTTCTTTTTCTTATTCCACTTCTTTTTGTTGTTGTTTTGTTTGTTTGAGATAGAGTCTCTCTGTGTATCCCTGGCTGTCCTGGAACTTTCTATAAATCCTTCTGTCTCTGGCTCCCAAGTGCTGAGATTAAAGGTGTGCACATAGATTTCAACACAAGTATAAGAGAGTGAGAGAAACATGTAAGAATAGGACTGTAGTACATAGCACATGCTGTTTCCTGGATTCTCAAGAGAGACACTGAAACAGATCCTTTATATGGCAAATCTTCATTTCTAAAGAGAATACATGGTCGTTTAGGAATATTATTTGGGGTAGGTGGGTCACATGTGTCACATAATGTACATGTATTCATTCTGTTTTTCTTAGTGTATTTTTTGAATTTAAATAGTTATGTATGCTTTGTTTAGTACTTTCTTGTTGTTTTGTTTTTTTAATTTAGACCTCTACCTCATTACCGAAATGGTAAATTACATTTTAAACCTTTTGGAGATCCAGTCTTTGCCCGAGATTTGTTAACATTCCCAGACAATATTGAACATTGTGAAACAGGTAAAAGACTTCATTTTGTTCAACTGTTACATTTGTGATATAAATTTATAAAATGTTAACTATGAAAAATTACATTCTTATAAATACTACTTTCATCAATATTTAATTCTATGTATTTTGATGTTTTTAGTTTTTGGTATGCTGTTAGGAGACACCATTATTTTGGATAATCTAGATGCAGCCAATCATTATAGAAGAGAGGTATGTACTTCATTTATTTTTTTTTAATCATTTTATTGTAAAGAATTGGGAAATTTAAAAAAAAAATCACACAACTAGATTAACATAGCCACTTAAGCAAGCCTTTGCCCAGACTCAAGTCTGTGCATCTCAGTGAACTCACAGAACAGCGCTCCCAAGCTTTGGAGCTTAGTTTTGGATTTTATATTTTCACGATTAGTTTCATTTTTACGCACATTACCCTTTCTTTCCCTTATACATGCTGTTCTTAGACCCATATGTTCATTTGTTTATACATTGTAGGCTAAGGATACACATATAAGGGAGAACATGTGAGTGTTTTGTTTTGTTTTTCTTTGATTGGATGACCTTGCTTAATATTTTGCATTCTTTTTAAGCATACTCATTTTTCTGCAAATTTTGTGGTTTCCTTTTTTTTTTTTTTGGTTTTTCGAGAAAGGGTTTCTCTGTGTAGCTTTGCACCTTTCCTGGATCTCGCTCTGTAGACCAGGCTGGCCTCGAACTCACAAAGATCCACCTGGCTCTGCCTCCCGAGTGCTGGGATTAAAGGCGTGCGCCACCACCGCCCGGCCTTTTTTTTTTAAGAGCTAAATAGCATGCCATCTTATGTATGTACCAGATTTTTTTATTCTTTCATCTTTTGGGCAACATAGTGAGTTCTAGGCCAGCCAAGGATGTACCGTGAAACAAACCTAGCTCAAAAATAGTGTTTCTTATCTAAAGACCACATCATCAAGTTAAAAGCAGTGGCTCCCAACCTTCCTAATTCTGCAGCTCTGTAAAACATACAGTTCCTCAGGTTGTGGGGACCCCAACCATAAAATTATTTAGTTGCCTCTTCATAGCTGCAATTTTGCTACTGTTCTGAATCATAATGTAAATACCTGATATGTGACCAGTGGGGATCATGACTCACAAGTTAAGAACCACTAGATTATAGAGCCAAGTGCATGATGGGCTTTAGCCTAATGACTTTGAGAAAACACACTTAGTAGCACCTTTGTAGGCAGCTATGCTCACAAAGCACTTCACATCTCTGGAGGAGGGAGTTGGATGTGTTTTGAATTGTTACCTAACAAACATCTTTTGGGGGTCCTAGGCTTTTGTCTTAATTAGGGTTTTTTGTTTGTTTTTTGAGACAGTGTTTCTCTGTGTAGCCCTGGCTGTCCTGGAATTCACTTTGTAGACCAGGCTGGCCTCGAACTCAGAGATCTGCCTCCCCCTGCTCCAAAGTGCTGGGAATAAAGACATGTGCCACCATTGCCTGGCTCTACCAAATTTTATTTGACTAAGTCATTTATAATTTATAATGTATTATTATATTTATATATATAATTTATCAATATCTTAGTAACTGTTAAATTTCAGTAGCTTTGTTATTTTTCTTTTTTAAAATTTTTCGTGGTATTTATACTAACATTTCAACTCGTTACTGATTTTACTCCTTTTCTGTCTCTCCAGCAGTTAGAAGTAATCTCCATTTTTGTTCAGCCAACTTGTTCACTCTTAGAACTTGAGCTCCTGACTGTATGTTTGTTGCTAATAGTACAGTGAGGTAGGATCATGAAAATTGAATAAAAAAAAGACTGTGGTATTTTCCAATTGTTACAAAAGAAAGCCCAATTGTTCTTTCTACCTGAAGCTTATAACTGTCCCCTCCCATATTGTTAATCCTCTAAGAGGGGCATAATAAGCTAGGTGTTTGTTACTGAATATGATGTTAAATCCTTAAAACTGCCTGAGCATTGATAATTGGATGGTATTTCTATGTATGTGCACATGTGTGCATGTATATATGGAGGACAGATGTTGACAGGTATCTTCCTCAGGTGTTTCAGAACTCATCAGTTGACCAAATTTGCTGACCAGCAAGTCCCAACAGCCCACCTCTGCCATCCTCATGCTGTCATTACAGATGTGTGCCTCTGTGCCTGGCCTCTTAGACTAGTCTTGGGAACCCCAACTTGAGTTCTATTGTAGCCATACTTTGCTGACTGAGCCATCTCCCCAGCCCCCATTATTGTCTGTCTGTTTTGTGTGATGGATGTTTTGCCTGCATGTATCTCTGTGCACCACTTTCATGCCCAATCCCAGAGTAGTCCAGAATGGGGTATTAGATCCCGTGGGACTAGAGCTGCCATGTGGGTCCTGAGAATTGAACCTGGATTCTGTGGAAGAACAGCCAGTGCTCTTCACAAAACTTAGCCATCTCTACAGCCCCCCACTCCAGTTTCTACCTTTTATATTTCACCTTTAGAAAGCATATAAATCCAAATAAAAACCAAGAATAAATTGTAATTATTTCTTTTACAAAACCAATTGTCTTAGTTAGGGTTTCTATTGCTGTGAAGAGACACCATGACCACTGCAAGTCTTATAAGGAAAACATTTAATTGGAGCTGGCTTATGGTTCAGAGGTTTAGTCCATTACCATCATGGCAGAACATGGCAGCATGCAGGCAGGCATGATGCTTGAGAGGTAGCTGAGAGTCCTACATCTTGTAGGCAACAGGAAATGGTCTCTGACACTGGGAGTGGCTTGAGCATATATGAGCCCTCAAAGCCCACCCCCACAGTGACACACTTCCTCCAACAAGACCACACCTACTCCAACAACGCTACACCTCCTAATAGTGCCACTCCCTTTGGGGGACATTTTCTTTTAAACAATCACAGCAAGTAATTTTGAATCTGCAAATTCTTCATTAGTACAAGATTTTTTTCAACTAAACCAAGCATGATAGCATATGTCTGTAGTACTAGCCCTCAGCAAAGGAGTGTGAACTTAAGACCAGTTTGGTCGCATGGCAAAACTACACACCAAAACAAAACAGAAATAAGTGATTACTTTAGTCATTTTGTTGCATTTTAGGCTTTTTTTTTTTAATGCCATGTTCAATTAATTAATTAATAGAGACAAAAGTAAATAAAACTGCCAGTTTTCTGGAAAGGCGTATATGAAGTGCCTCTGGAATTATATTTTCTTTTTTTTAAGATGTAATTTTACTTCTATAAATTCTATGTAATTATGTAAATATTTTATTTATATAATCCAAATACTACTTAAGCTTTAATGTTAGATATTTGTAATGTGGTAAATTACAGTGCAATTCAGTCACACTTGAGGGTGGGGTGTGTACATTCCAGTGCACAGGCCAGAGGAAGATATTAGATATAGTGCTGCCATTACTGTTCAGCTTTTCTCTAGAGACGGGGTCTCATTGGACCTGGAACTTGTTTTTGGGGGGTGGGGCCAGGGGGTAGGCTGGCTGATCAGCAAACCCCATTGATTATCCTGTTTCCACAGCCTCCCACCTCAGCAGCAGAGGTTGTGAGTAAAACCCCATTAGCTGTTTTATGTGGATGTTATGCTCATATGGTAAAAAGTTCTTACCCGCTGCTGCATCTCCCCAGCCCCGCCCCCATCACTTTTTAATGTATGTATTCTACTTCATTGTGTGGGTGTGCTGCAATTTATGTAATTTACTGAGACATGTTAGTATTTCATAAGACTGTTTGAGTGTACATACTTGTGATCATTTTGCGAGGTTAAATGTTTATAAGAGGAATTACTGAAGACACTCTTAGAGATCAGGAAATGCCGCATCCAGTGAGATATTTTTATTCTCACTAATTGGGGGAATTTAATCCTTGACCCCTTTCTGACCATTGTAGTTTAAGCTAGTATTTGAAAACTAATCGGATTCTCTACTTGTCTGTGGACTTTCCCCCAGTGTATTTATTATTTATTTTTTATTTATTAGACACCATTAGCTTATTATTTTTGTGAAGACACTACCCCAGTGTGTCACTTGCTTCTTTACGTGCTTGCTTATTTATTGGGTTTTTGTTTATTTGTTTTAGAGACATTGTCTCTCTACAGAGCCCTACTGTCCTGGAACTCACTATGTAGACCAGGCTGGCCTCAAATTTATTGAGACCTATGTACCTCTGCCTCCTGAGTACTGGAATCAAAGGCATGCATTACCATGGAGTCAGTTTCTTCCTCTGTTTACCTTCAATAGGTTGTTAAAATCACACACTGTCCCACATTACTGACTAGAGATGGAGATCGTATCAGAAGTAATGGAAAGTTTGGGGGCCTTCAGAATAAAGCTCCTCCAATGGACAAACTTCGGGGAATGGTCTTTGGAGCTCCAGTACCAAAACAGTGTGTGATCTTGGGGAAAGAAATAGGTAAGCTAAATGTGGACTGGTTTGGTCTAGTTTGTGTATTTGTCATTGTTTCAAGACAGTCTATGTATCTCAGGCTGGCAGGAATTCACCATGTAATCGAGCATGGCCTTGAGTGTGTTGACCCTCCTGCCTCCACCCCTCAGTCCTGGGATTGTCTCGGCATTTATCACTGTACACCCAGTATCTGTGGTGTTGGGGACTGAACTGAGGACTCCTGCATGCTAGGCAAGCACTCTGCCCACCAGGTCACAACCCCAGCTCCCAAAGATACCTTTCTTTTTTCTTTTTTCTTTTTTTTTTCATGATAAAAGTATCTCTTGAGGAGTCACTGTTATTTATCTTTTTGTTTTGTTTCAGTGCAGGGGGTTGAACCTGGGGTCTTAGGTATGCTGAGCAAGCATTCTACTGTAGCTGTAATTCTAAATGGTCTTATTAAATAAGAAACACAGAGCCAAATGCAGAGTTAAAAGCCCAGAGATCACAGAGCAGTAGCCAAAAGCTAAGACCATCTTCTTACCACCCGCTGCCATCCTTCCCCTGAGAAAGAGACCTACTTCCTGTGTCTGTATTTTTTATTGACTTTCTGTTCTGCCTTCTCATTGGTTGTAAACCCAACCACATGACCTCCTCGTCACTGCCTGTCTGTACAGACCTCCAGGTCTTCTATGGTTGGTATTGAGATTAAAGGCGTGTGTCTCCAAACTGGCTATGTCCTTGAACACACAGACTCTGCCTGTCATGTGATTGGGATTAAGGGTGTGTGCTACCACTGCCAGACTTCTGCTATTAGCTCTGATCCCCAGGCAACTTTATTTATTGACATACAAATAAAATCACATTTCAGCACAAATAAAATTTCACCATATTCTACCACTGAGCTACAGTCCCAGCTGAATGTGTATCTAAATGCAATTTTTAATTTGACTTTAACATTTTCTTTAAGGGCTTATGTTGTCAGAGTCTAATGTCACAAATTAACCCGTAACCAATATAAAACGTGTTTGTTCTTAGAAAACAATCTACCTTATATCAAGTAGTTGAAATGTGCTCCCTTCTTCCTTCCTTTATTGAATTATTACAAGAGAGCAATAGTCTAGGGAGTAACTAGAGTACTTACTTGTGTCTTTTTTACCGTGTATTCAAGAATATTCTGCCTCATTGAATTACATTTATCAGATAATCATTTGTTTTTGTCTCAGTTAATAGTGAAGAGTTTTTGAGCCAGCCGTGGTAGCGTGTGCCTGCGCTGACTACTTAGGAGGCTGAGGCAGGAAAGCTTACTTGAGCCTATGAATTTGAGACTAGCTTGGGTCAAATAGCAAAACCCTGTCCCAAAACATATTTTTTCCTAAAGTATATGATATGGACCCTTCCGCCACTTCTATTCTTTTGTCTCCCAGGTGCCTCCTTCAAGTCAGCCAATGTATTATCATCTGTGTCTGCTCTAAGTGCATATATACTCAGCAGGAAGTCCCTGCATGCCATCACTCTATAGAGTCCTGCTTTTATTTCATGAAGTTGTAATGTGCTTGACTATTTAATTTTATGACACGGTAATTTCTGACTTTTAGCCTTTTTTACAGGTATCATATCATTTCCCATCTTAACTGTTTTCACTGCACAATTTATAGCATTAAATACTTTAACATGCTATACAATCTGTCTCTGATTTAACTGAAATTTAGCATCTTCCCATCCCTTCCCCTGGCTGTCGTCATTCTACTTGGAATTCTCTGTGAAATTGACTGTTCTAGATAACCTTTTATGTCTGTTCACTTAACATGAGGGCAGGGCTTATCCACTATAGGAAATGGTTGAGTTTCCTTTCCTGGTAACATTGATTGATACTCCGTTGTGTATTTTGCTCTTTTGGTTTGGTTTAATTTGGTTTGGTTTGGTTTGGTTGAGGCCATTTTTATTCTGTTGCCCTCAGCTGGCTTGACACTCACCATGTAGCCCAGGCTTGCCTAGATTTTATGGTAATTCTTCTGCCTTAATCTCCCAAGTGTTGGGATTACAGGATGAGGCACTACCCCAGGCTACATTTTTGTTCTTGTAGTAATGTATAATCTAAACATAGAAAAATACACATTTTGCAAACATGGAAATGGTAAGTTTTAGTATAAGAACACCATACTTATAAGAATGAAAAATAAGGCTTGGGGATGTGATTCAGTGGTAGAGCACCTGACTGATATGTTTAATCTGAATCACCACACACAATTAAAATGAGTAGACTATTATCAGCTCTACAGAAAACTGCTCATTTTCTCTTCAAGTCCCCACATGACATGACTTTCTTTACTTAGCATAGGTTACTTTTGCCTGTTTTTGTACTTTATATGTAAATAGAATCTTAGAATACACACCTTGTATCTGCTCTTATTCATTCTGTGCTGTGTATGTCGGTAGCTGTGATTTATTTTCATTTCAGAATAGTATTTCATTGTGCAAATAGACCATTATTTATTCAGCTATTAAACTGGGATAGCATCCAGTTTTGAGATGCTACTTTAGCCTTGACAGTTTTAAAAACAGCAGTTGAAAAAAACCATAGAAGAGTTATACATCTGCTTATTATGTCAATGATATATACAAAAACTATTCTGAAATGTAACTAAAAATTACATTAAGAGCCATCTCACTCAGTCAGAAAAAAGGAAAAATAGACTTACCATATGACCCAACACTCCTCCTGGAGATTTATCCAAAAGACTTCATTAGCATATAAAAGACAGTTGCCTGCCATTGTAGCATTTTTCACAGTAGCCAAGTTATGGAGCCAAACTACGTGTCCATTGACAAAAGAAATAAATGGATGAAATGTGGTTCACTCGCACAGTGAAGAAGAATGGGTCATGTCATTTGCAGGAAAATAGAGTCAGCTGGAGACAATGAAGTGAATCAGTCTGTCATAGAAAATAATACTGTTTCCTCTCTTTTGTGAGTTGTAGACTTAGATACAGCCACATAGATTATATGAGTATAGATAACGAGAAAGTAGAAATGAAAGAGTCCATGAGGAACCAAAGGAACTTAAGGGAGGGTAGACAAGTGGAAAAAAGTATAGCAGGGGATAGAGCAGGATATTTCCAATGTAGTATATATTTGTATGAAAACAACTTTCTGTAACCCAGGATGATACAATTAAATTAAAATTTAAAATCTGCAATTTAAAAAATAAGTGAACATCTGAGGAAACTGATAGAAAACAATCAGAGACAGTAGATTAACAAAACAGCTTTATTAACTAACCTCAATTTGTGAGACTACATTTTATGGCAGTGGTGTCAGCATACAGAATGACTTACAAAACTTTAAAAACACAGAGGTGCTCTATTTACGGAATTCTTAGAAATTTACTATATGGAGATCACTCTAATAGTATGGCCATCTCTGTGGACCTTTGAGAAGAAAAAATTATATTTATTAAAGATGTGCTCTACTCATATATGTAAGGTTAATAACATACTGCATTGATTTAAAAATTCTTTAACTGTGCGCCGGGCGGTGGTGGCGCACGCCTTTAATCCCAGCACTCGGGAGGCAGAGCCAGGCGGATCGCTGTGAGTTCGAGGCCAACCTGGGCTACCAAGTGAGTTCCAGGAAAGGTGCAAAGCTACACAGAGAAACCCTGTCTCGAAAAAACCAAAAAAAAAAAAAAAATTCTTTAACTGTGTGTATGTATATATTTATATGCATGTAGAACATATGAAAGGACAAGTACCAATCATGTTTTTTAAAGGCTTTAATTGGTGTTTTATTGTAACATGTGTCTCATTTTTTTTTTTTTTTTTTTTTTTTTTTTTTTTTTTTTTTTTTTTTTTGGTTTTTTCGAGACAGGGTTTCTCTGTGTAGCTTTGCGCCTTTTCCTGGAACTCACTTGGTAGTCCAGGCTGGCCTCGAACTCACAGAGATCCGCCTGGCTCTGCCTCCCGAGTGCTGGGACTAAAGGCGTGCGCCACCACCGCCCGGCCGTGTCTCATTTTTTAAACATATTTTTAGTGATTCCCTGTGAATCCCACACCATGTACCCCAGTCCCTCCTACCTCCCAGTCCATTCACATCCGCCTTTCACTCTTTCGGTGCCCCTCCCCCAAAGAAAAACAAAGCAAAAAATTAAACAGTCCTCTGACTTTGCCATCTCTCCATCATATCACTCATCTTAGTGTTATTGGGAACTGTGGTGTGTCACACATTATACCCTTTTGTCCAAACGGCTTTACTTGTAAATGTTCATTATAATGAGTCGTTGGTTTGGTTCAAGGCCTCTGGTTTCTGGTACACCATCAGTAATGGACCCTCACCAAAACTCAGATACCCTGCTGTTGCTTCAAGTCATGGAGATCTTGCAGCTATGGTTCCCTGGGACCAGTCCTTTCATGCACATTCCAGCCAGCAGGTCATAGGTAGATATTGGGGTAGGCCAACTCAAAGCACTGGATGTGGGCCTGGGCGGTAGCTGATTGGTCAGAGCCAGCTCTCCTGTGCCTATGCCATCAGGATCAGACCTCCCATGTGAGGGGTGGGGCCAGATCTCCCATTGCAGCAGCCAGTGAGAGCCAGGGCCAGATCTCCCAGGGCCAACAAAAGGCAGCGCCAGCTCGGCACGGCCCTCAGATTTCACATGGCCCCTAATGGTGAAGGGGTCACAAATATCAACACAGACCCCAGCTGTAGCATTACCACAAATCGAGACATGGCCCTCAGCAGCAGCTTGGGCCTAGATGTCACCATGGCAGTGCAGGCCACCTAGATGAGTATGGCCCTGGTAGCAGCATGGGTCTCAGACGCCAACATGGTCTCAGGTGGCTGTTCAGACCCTGAGCATCTGCACAGCCTTCTGTGGAAACAGGAGCCGTGGACATCAATACAGACCTGGGCCATGGACCCGACATGGCCCTTGGCAACAGCCTGGACCTGAATGTCACCATTCCTCAGCACCTCCACTCCTTCAGTTCCACCTGTCTCCACAGCACATGAACCACTCCGCTTCTCTCCCATTTCTCCACCACAGATTTGCTCATTGTAATGGTGTCCTTCTGGTGCCTCAAGGTATCAGGCTGCCTGTGGGTGTCTTTCACTCACTGGGGCTGTGTGGGGGGTGGTAATTTTTATTTTTATTTTTTATTTTTTTTTTTTTCAAGACAGGGTTTCACTGTGTAACCCTGGCTGTCCTGGAACTCACAGAGATCTACCTGCCTCTCTCTGCCTTCGGAGTGTGGGATGGGATTAAAGGCGTGTGCTACCACTGCCTGGCGAAAGTTACACATACAAAAAGAACTCTTGTGTACTAAGAAAGTGCGTAAGGAGTGGCTATCTCTGCAGTTAGAGTTGATCCAATGTTTTATTATAAATCAGGGAAATAGTGCTTTTCTGACGGTACAGTCTTTAGTGCTCTTGTGTTTCACCTCTTCTCTATCTGTGTTGAGTAATGTGGAACACTTTGTCAGAGGATGTGAGAATGTCCAAGCACTTTCAGATAGAAAACATTAGGTGTGACATTTGTCTAATGTGTGCGAGGCCCTGAGTTCTATCCCTAGAACTGCAAAGAATGAAAATAAAAGAAAGAGTAAAGGGTGGTAATTGAAAATTCCTTCCTGACAGAAATAAATTCAGTCAAAGAAAATTAAAATGTAACTGTCATGTATTGTCTCAACTGTACTTGTTCGTTTTCATTGAGTGATTCATAACTTTAAAAGGCATTCCTTGTAGGTTACTCAGTGATGGTAATTCTTTTTTCTAAAACTTGGATTTGGTATGACCTTAGCTTCTTTGACATCGACTTCTTTGCAGATCTTATTCAACAGTACCGTACTGCTGTGTGCAAGCTGAGTTCTGTGAACAAGGACTTGACTAGTCAGTTACAGTACCTTCACACTCCTGATATGAAGAAGAAAAAGCAAGAACTTGATGAACAGGAAAAAAGTCTGAAACTAATAGAGCAAAAACTTGGTATATATTTACTTTTTATTAACTTTCTGTTTGACAATAAATGATGAGGAGTGGAACTGTAAAAAGAGAATGCAGCCGGGCGGTGGTGGCGCACGCCTTTAATCCCAGCACTCGGGAGGCAGAGGCAGGTGGATCTCTGTGAGTTCGAGGCCAGCCTGGTCTACAGCGCGAGATCCAGGAAAGGCGCAAAACTACACAGAGAAACCCTGTCTCGAAAAACCAAAAAAAAAAAAAAAAAAAGAATGCAAATGAACTGATTTCTTAACTGCCAGGCTGTCTGATAAGTGCTTAAAACTATTCTCTTTCCAGGAGACTAGTGTCTTAGTTAAGGTTTCTATTACTGTGATAAACACCTGACCAAAGGCAAATTGAGAAGAAAAGGGTTTGTGTCAACTTACAGTCGGTTATCCAGGGAGCCAGGGCAGGAGAGGCCATGGAAAAACACCACCTACCATCTTGTTTCCCATGGCTAGTTTAGCTTACTTCCTTATATAACATAGGACTGCCTACCTAGAGGTGACACCACCCACAGTGGGCTGGGCCCTCCCATACGAAGACAGTGCCCCACAGACATATCTGCAGGCCAGTCTGATGGAGGCAATTCCCCAGTTGTGGTTCCCTCATCCCAGATGGCTCTAGTTGATGTCTGTTGACAAAAACTAATCAGCCCAAGTAGTCAGGATTCTTGGTATTGTTAGTTCCTTTTCACAAGTTTATCTATATTTGCTTTTTGTTCCAATCTTTTACATTTTCTTCACAGGTATGACTCCTACACGGAAGTGCAATGACTCATTTTGTCACTCAGCAAAGATTGAGTTGACAGAGTGTCCAATTCCTACTAAAAGAATGAGAAGAGAATCTACCAGACAAAATAGGTGAGCATATTGTGAGCCAATTATCATTGGTTAGTTTGCCAAAGATCCTGTGTCATTGTACTTTAAAGTCATTATAGCTTTATTTCTAAATCTCCTGAGGTAGAATGAGCATTTTTAAAACAAAAGCATGTGTGGGATGATAACTGAGTAGTAGACTGCTTGCCTGGTGTGTGTGAGCTCCCTCCTGGTTTTGATCCAGTATCGGTAGGGCAGAACATGTGGTGCTTCTGTATTATGAAGTCACAGAATCATTATGTTCTCTTAGGAAATCTAATTTTCTTAGTGGTAATTTACTGCTTGGAAGTGTTAATTATTTTTCTGCTATTAAAAGTCACTATAGAATGAAGTTGCTTTTATGTTTTGACATAAGTTTCAGCATACTGAACTCTAATAATGAAATCACCAGTTTTCTAAATAGTAATACGCATTTGTAAATTAAGTTACTTTTAAAGTTTTATGTTTGACTTGGTCAATCAAATACTTAGTAATTCATCAAAAATCCAACAAAGCCTTTGGCAACCTTACTTGGTAGTAAGAGCTATCCTCTTTTAATTAGATTTAGAAAGCTGCCTGTCTTGGGGTTAATGTTGCTATGGTGAAATACCATGACCAAAAGCAAATTGGAAAGGAAAGTGTTTATTTTACTCACGGTTCCATAATAACAGTTCATCATCAAAATCAGTGAGGACGGGAGCTCAAGCAGGCAGGAACCTGGAAGCAGGAGCTGATGCAGAGACCAAGGAGGAGTGCTGATTGCTCACTTGCTCCTCAACTTACTCAGCATGCTTTCTTATTGAACCCAGGAACACCAGCCCAGAGCTGGCCCCACCCACAATGGGCCGGGCCCTCCTGCATCAATAACTACTTAAGAAAATGACCTACACCTGGATATTATGGAGGTGTGTTCTCAATTGAGGTTCTTTCCTCAATTGACAGAAAACTAGCCAGGACACTGCCCCACCGAAGAATAGGGTGGCAGTGAATTTTTATATAAAGATTTGAGTAACATTCTCACATCAACCCTAAATTCCCTGAGACTTGTGGTGTTTGGAATTGGTGTCCTATGCTCTCTCTACCCGCTGCATATTCAGCAAATCTTTGACTATTTAGTTGTGCTGTTGTTGCTCCATAAGTAAACTGACCAGGCTCCTACCCCTGTCCTGTTCCTCAGTCCTCTGCAAAAGAAGGATCATTTGCAAAGTCAGCTTTGCTGCGTAAAAGGAGAGAAAATGGTAAGCTGGTAGAACATAGAGATAAAACAAGTCAGTGGTCAGGAAAAGGCACTAAAGCAGAAAGTGAGCAGGGGAAGGAGTCATCCACGCAGGGTTGGTATGGTTACAGAGGAAAGAGCACATGATGCTGCATTGGAAGAAAAGATACCTGGCTAAAGTTCTTTCCTAAGGATAAAGTATACAGACTTCATAAAGATAAAGTGACTTCGCCACTCTTAAGAAAGTAGTGGATATGGGAAGTAATAGTCAGTGGTACTAGATGACAAGGTAAAAAGTTAACTGGGAAGGTTCACAATGAAAAGATCACATTGCTACACCTGAATTCACTGTTCAGTCTTAGCAACCCCGAACGTAGTAAGACACGTGCTATTATATTAACTCTTCCTCAGAGACAGTATTTGGTTCTAATGATACTTGGAGTCATCTTTTCTTAGCTGAGTGATCTATCTGTTGGATGAACTGAATGTGAAAGCCGAGTGACTGCTTCCATCGTTTTCCCTAGGGTACAACCGAGTTGGCACCATCCTGGAAGCTTAAGTTAATGGTATTTGTCTTCAGTCTTAGTATTCAGGAGGATGAGGTGGGAGAATCTGAAGATTGAGGCCAGTCTGGAATACTACTGAGACACCCCTATCTCAGTCCCCGCCCCCCACAGAAAGATTTTATAGTAATCTGGAAGAGATAAGGGTTAAAATTATTTTAGTTGTTGTTAGTGGTTGTAGTTATGATGGTAGTGTATTACCTTCAAAGTCATGCATGCATAAAAGTTAAAGGTTTAGACTCACAGTGTACTATGTAACATAAGTCACATAAATATCCAAAATATTGTTTACACATGTAAACAATGTGGAAAAAGTTTAATTTTTGAGATAGGGTCTCACTATGTAGAACAGGCTGTCGTGTAACTCACTCTGTAGACCATTCTGTCTTCAAACTCACAGAGATCTGCCCGCTTCTGCCCCACAAGTGCTGGGATTAAAGACATGCACCACCATGCCTAGATTCAGTGTTAAAATTATTAATGAGTTATTTACATTTTGTTTTCATGCAAGGTCTTTGAAATTCACATGATACTTAATCTCAATTAGAACTATTAACATTGCAAGTATAGCTTCTGTGTTGGACAGTAAAGGTATACAAAGAGCTTACAGTAATAAGTATAGCTTCTGCGTTGGACAGTAAAGGTATACAAAGAGCTTGCAGTAATAAGCTTGTGCATCTTTTTCATCCCTGAGAGGTGGCCTCTAAGTATCATTCTATTGTTGCCTCCATTTTTTAAAGTTTTATTTATTTTTTTGTGTGTATACGTGTTTTGCCTGCATACATGTATGTGCACCAGGTTTGCCTGGTCACCCTCAGATAACCAGAGAGGAAATCAGATTCCTTGGAATTAGAGTTACAGATGGTTGTGAGCCACCACGGGGTACTGGGAACCAAACCCAGGTCCTCTGCAAATAACAACACATGCTTTTAACCATGGAGCCAACTCTCCAGCCCCTCCCTCTTTTTTCTTTTTAATGGACTTCTGGGGCTGAAGAGAAGGCCCAGCAGTTAAAAGCACTTGTTGTTCTTATAAAGGACCCATGTTTGGTTCCCAGCACTCACATGGCAGCTCACAGCATTCTGTAACCCCAGTTCCAGGAGATCCAATGTCTTCTGACCTCCACAGACACCATACATGCATGTAGGGACACATACATCCATGCAGGCAAGACACTCATACACATAAAATAACTAAACCTAAAAAATAAAATAACATGGACTCTTTTAACAGCTTTAGATAGAACTAGGCAAATTTGTCAGCTACATGATCCTGATGTCGTGACCTGTACATAGTTTACTAGTCAATGTTCCAAACATCAGATGGAAATAAGTCTTCTGTATTGTATCATTCTGAAAATCTTCCTAAATTTTATTTAATTAGTTATTTGGACTGCTTCCTGCTGCTAATTTTTCTGGCTTTTAGTTGCATTTCTTGTTTCTTTTACCATTACGTCTTGATCGCATCATCGTCCTCCCAAACTAGTGCTGGTATTTGTGGGCTTCCTTGGCTGTATCTTGGGCAGACTGCTCTTAGGTTGAATGCCTTGGTTCTGAGTCTTTCTGTCGTAACTTCCTTAGGAAAAAATGTGCCAAAAAATAATGGAGCCTTTCTATGCCTGAAACTATCTTTATACTGCCTAAATTCAAGTAAAGTTTCCTGACTAATGTGATGAGAGGTAAGGGTGGAATATTCTAGAGGCCAAGGGGTCAGGAAATATTTTAGAAATGGGAAACAGCCTAATAGAGAGAGCCCTCTAAAGGTCATCCTGGCCACAAGGGTAATGGGAGCAGGCTGAGAAGAGAGGGGGCAGCAGCTGTGCACTAGTGACACCAGAGTACTTGGTTCTGTCTCCATGCCTAGGCACTGCCGTGCCACCACAGTTAGATAAGGATGGGAAACCTTGGTGCGGTTGCTGTGTGAGCACAGAGAACCCTGTCTGGTGTTTCTCCTAGAAACCATCTGTTGGGAACTGACTCTTCAGCCAGAATGGAAGGAAAGCCTGTAGCCCCATGACCCCGCTCGGCCCTGTGTCGCTTCCAGTTCTCACTCCGAAGACACTCAGTGGGGAAACAGTCCTGTTTCTATACCAGCCGAAGAAATCTAAGCCAGCAACAATCTCTTTCTTAAATGTAGTGATACAATCCAGAGTCGTCATGTGAGAGGAGTCAGCAACAGGAGAGGAAAAATAACTAGCAGCACAGCCGTTATTAAAACTCAGGAACACGCTGGGCGGTGGTGGAGCATGGCTTTAATCTCAGCACTCTGGAGGCAGAGGCAGGTGGATCTCCATGAGTTCTAGGTCAGCCTGGTCTACAGAGTGAGTTCCAGGACACAGGGATACACAGAGAAACCCTGTCTTAAAAAACCAAGAAGAAGCCGGGCGGTGGCGCACGCCTTTAATCCCAGCACTCGGGAGGCAGAGGCAGGCGGATCTCTGTGAGTTCAAGGCCAGCCTGGTCTCCAAAGCGAGTACCAGGAAAGGCGCAAAGCTACACAGAGAAACCCTGTCTCGAAAAACCAAAAAAAAAAAAAAAAACCAAGAAGAAGAAGAAGAAGGGGAAAAACAGATGACAAATTAGGAGACAGGAATTGCCAGGGTGCCTTCCTGTAACACAGGTTACAGGAAGAGAACTAAAGTCCAAGAACTCCAGTGACAAGCGGGGAAACCATCAAGAGTTGGGAGACACCGAAAACTAATTCAGACTACTAGGAACCCTGAAGGAGGAAAATGTATCGTGTATAAAGTAATCTCCTGGAATGAATGGAAGAGCACAGATCTGTTGAGCACCCAGCACAGTGTCTGATGGAAGATGCAGAGAGGCATCGGATGCTCTTACATAATATCAAGGGAGGAATGTAAATGTCAGTGTAGTCTTTAATCCATAGGAAGAAACACATGGGGAAAAGTAGCCGTCCTTGTCTGACTTGGTGGTGTCAGAGTAAGAGGTGTGGGTGGAAGCTCCTCCCTTTGCAGCCTTTGTGTTAGACAAAAGGAAAATGTGTTTGAATGACTCCTTAGGGACTCCTCATCCCACTCTCAGCCTGCCCTCCTCTCAGTTTTTGTCAGTGTGAGAGTGTTTGAAGCTGTGTATTTTCAAATTAGTTTTAGCTTGGACTCCATTTTCTGTCTGCTTGGGGAAGTCAGAGGCTAATTTGCAGAGGCTCAGCCATCTTCCACTATGTGTGCCCTGGGGATGGAACTCAAGTTGTCATGTTACCTGCTGGCCCAGAGTATCCTTAACGGTATTGAAATGTCAGATTTCATCCATAAAATGAACAATTTTTATAGGAAAAGAGAAATAATAAATACATATCTATGTGTTTGTAATTTTTTACTTGTTTACTTGTTAAGCTAGCTCTTAACAGAAATCCCATATCATGTTTCATCAGCCCCAGTGTGTCACTGACTAGAAGAAACACTGTTTATCCTGTGAAACATTACAGAACTGTACCTTAGCCATGGTATTTGAGGGCTGTCTGGGTTTCAGGGGTATTAATGTGAAAGAGCATGAGTCTTCGTTTATACTTAAGAGATAGGGTTTCATTCAGCAAATGGCTGGGTGGTCAAGAGCACTTGCTCTTGCAGAGGATCTGGGTTCAGTTCCCAGCACAACATGATAGCTCACCGTTGTCTGTAACTCCAGTTACAAGGGATTAGACACTTCTCCTGATCTCTGCAATCCTGTGTGCATGTGATGCACACATGTGACTCAGGCATGTACATCCACACACACTAAATAAAATACAGAAATCTAGATGCTTTTGTAATCATAAGTTAGCAGTTTCTTTAAAATGTTTCTCTTTGTTTGGAGGTACTGTCATTTGAAAATTTGGTATTTAGTTGTATTGCATAACAACACATCTGTACCAAGGCATTCACGGCATTCATTGCTGCATTAACGTGAAGGGAAGGAGAGTGAGAGATGGGGCGGTCCGAGAACAGCTGAGGCTGTTGGGCACCGAGGCCGTGGCCTCACACACTAGGCAAGCCTCTTCTGTACTCACCTGCATCCCCAGCCAGCTCTTGTGAGCAGCAGTGAGGGAGTAAACAGTCTGTAGTTGTTATCTCAGGTTAGAGTGCTCAGATAATTAATTCCAGTTGTTCATGCATACTACAGACATAACATACACTAATTACTGATTTTTGTGTGCATATGAGATATGTGTGATTGCTAAATAATTAAAGATTGTATTAATTGTTTATACTAAGGATCAGAGTTAGAGCATAGTTCCGTGTGATATTTAATTATTCTGAAATGATCAGGGAATTTAGGAAAGGAAGTCACACGTATATAAATCATGGTTTTGTTTTTCTGCTTCAATCAGGATTGTAACTGAAGCAATGTATGAGAGGTGGTAGGGAATAAAGACCACCGGGCTCACTAAGAGTGCCTTCTTCTTTATCTCTTTCAGAAGACCAAAAGGTGATGTACCAAACTGAAGACAGTGCAAGAATCCTTGCAAGAATTTACTGTTTCTCCAGATGGGCCTGGAAGCAGCTGTTCAGTTGCAGAATCTCATTGGGCATTACAGATTTACTGGAATGATTCCAGTCATTGTGTCTTTTGGTGGTTGGCTTACAGATGTATACTCTTAACCTGTGATGGTCAAGCTGGCACTGAAGACAGATAAACCTCCTGTTTCTCAGCATAATCATGAGTATATCAGAACTGTTTCTTCAAAGCAACCTTTTTTATTGCTCTTTTGTGAACTTATTTAACAAACACGTTTTGTCTTTTGTGTATGGAAAGTTCTAGAGCTAGATATTTAATTGTAAATATGTGTGGAAAGTTGAATTTTTCATTAAAATGGAGAAAGCACAGGGGTCTGGAAATTTAAATGTTCAAATACATGGAAAAATAAATTGATGATGATAGGATAGCCTAAAGAGTGTATCCTGTACATAAGTAAGATATGCAGCGGCATTGATTTTTATAAGTATTGTCTGAATTTATTAATAACTAGAACTATAGCCTCAGCTTTAATTCTACATTTACATTATTTTCTAATTTTTTACTACTATTTTTAAGAAGTTAAAAACATATGAGAATGCAATAAGAGTTTGTTAGGAAGCTGTTGTATAAACATTTCAACTGTCTATTAACATACACTATGTATGTCTCTGTAAGTGCAAGACTTTTGATCTGTGACGTTATTTTGTAAGGAATACTTTTGGTACAGTTTTCAGTCCCAGGAAATGTGTGTGTTTTTAATCCTTTCTGATTATGCAGTAAGGTTAATAAACAATCATTTCTCCTCCCAAATTAGTGTTATCCTTAATTGAAATTCAAAGCTCTGTATAAGCTATCTTAGAAGTATTGACACAACTCTTCTGTGTTGTTGGTTCAATACTTGCATTGTTGAAGAAAGAAACAAGATAACAATAGTAGAAGTAGTTACAGTGAAGACTGGCTTCCTGGCTGTGGAGCAGCACTCCTGCCTATAATCCTAATACTTGGGAGTTGAAAGCCAGAAGATCAAGATCCAAGGCCATCCTTGGATACACAGCCAAGTTCAAGGCTATGTGAGACCCTGTCTTAAAAGATCGGGACATGTTTTAAAAATTAACCTTGGCGTTGCTCTCTGCCATGAGGAGGAATGAGAGCTGATGGCCAGCTTCAGGCCAACCAAAGGAGGCAGGTACTTGCACCCTCTCTGCAAATTGTCATTTTGTATTGGTAAGCAATCTGTAAAGTCCCCACACAGCAATCCTCTAGTTGAGGATTCTCTGACTCTTTAGACTCTTAGAAAGGGGTTGGAGCAAAGGAATTTGAAAAAAAAGCTTTAGTGAATGTGGAATGGAATATTTGCCAAGACTAGAAGATGGACAGCAAGAGAGAGAGAGAAATAGGAGGAAGCAGAAGAGAAAAGTAATAGACACATAGAACTTGAAAATAAAGAATTAGGAAAGGAGGAAAAAGGAGCAGGAGAAAAAAGGAAAGCATGGTTAAAGAAAATCCTCCATGAACTCTGCATCCCAGGTAACTAAGGACTCAGTCATTTGGGAAATACGTGTGTCCTCAACGAAGTTGTGCAGAATTGGTCACAAATACCAGTGATTAAGAACTACTAAAAGACTTGAAAGTGTCTGGAGTGATTGTGAAATGCAGCCGACCTGATTTGGCACTCCCAGAACCTTCAGAAGCAGACCTTGAGCCTCCAGGCCCACTTACTGTAGTCCTGATTCGGTTTCTTAATGAGATCCAAGAGACCAGAAGGGAAACTGATGCCTAGAGAGCTCTTGGGTCTGTAAAAAAGTGGCAGGGCTTAAAGGCTAGTAACCAGCCAGAAGCTAACTCACTGCTTACTGGATGGGATGAGAGCAGAACACAAAAAGAGTGAATAAAGGAATTATTAAAGCATTTGGTGATTGTACTGAACAATTAAATGAAGTAAAGAAGACCCAAGTTTTATGAGCCATATCTTTGGTGGCAAACCTGTAAATGGTGTGGTGAATACAGGACTGTCTCCTGGGTTTGTGAATCCTTCCCTTGATTTGTCTCTCCCAGTTGTAGATAATCAGAGTGGTAAGACAAGTATAAATGTTAAGAATCTGAACATTGCAGTGGAGGAAGAGATGACAGATAAAAGCACACGAAATGCTAATCCTTCAAGAACAAGGCTCGCAGGAGGAAGTGAAGGAGCAAGCCAACAAGCAACTTTCAAGAGAAAGTTCTTCACAGTGCTAGCTGGACCACTGACCACAGTGAGGACAGCGCAGAGGCTGGGTGTGGTGGTGCACATCTTGGATCCCAGGACTTCTGAGTTCAAGGCCAGCCTAGTCTATAAAGTGAGGTCCAGTACAGCCAGAACTACATAGACTGTCTCAAAACAAAAACACAAAACAGTTTGAATGCTGCACTCCATCCTGATGAAATAGATTCTGAGGTGGTAAATGAAGACCCAGAAACTGTTCTCCATATTCTTGTAAACAGAGAAGCTTTCAATACTTCAACATTGAAGTGTTCAATGTTGTTTACATTCGTTCACCCATCATGAGAAACTTCAAGATAGGAATGAAGTGCTTGATGATGTGTGCACAAGACAGCAGTACAGTGGACAGAGGAAGTGTTACCCTGAATGCCAAAATGCAGATGCTGATTTCTCTTGCTCTTGTTCAGTTACAGAGATTTCAGCAGCTGATTTTAACCTACGCAAAGTTAAAGTTTCAGGAAGTCTTAGATTTGGCTCTAACGTTTGTATCCTTGAAAGTAATGTTGCTGAAGAAAGCAGGAGAGTCCTGTATTTTTGTGTGGAGTTGTTGGATACACTGGCACTATGAAGTCAGGGCATTATACTTCCTGTGCCAAGGCAGGAACTGCAAGTCGTCATCTCTAATCTTGTTTGTCACAGTGAAATGGAATCAACGAAAGGACAGTGATTTTACATCAGGGGTGCACACATGCAAGCCGTGCCTCTATGAATGTTCACAAAGACCCTGTTTCTGGGTGAGTGAGGCATCCTGTGCCGAGTGATTCCAGGAGACTGCTGTAATGATCGGACACAGCTGTGCAAAAGACGGAGCCACCACGGAGGCAAAAGGAGAGAACAGCTGGGGAAGAGAGGCCATTATCCTGTGAGACTGAGGAACTAGTGGAGGCAGGGAGGCCGTTTCTCCCAAAGCTGTAACAGAAAGAGTAATTCATGGGCCTGGGCAGATGGCTCAGAGGTTAGAGTTTGGCTCCCTCAGCCTTTCACAAGTACCTGTAACTCCAGCTCCAGAAATATTCTCTGGCCTCCCTGGGCACCCTCACAAATGGGTACATACAGCATCCATACATAAGTGAAAATAATTTTAAAATTTTAATTTTATGTGTGGGTGTTTTTGTCTGCATGTGTATCTGTGCACCTGTGGAGGCCCACAAAAGTTTCCTAGTGAGATCTGAGCTTGCTTTGCCCAGAAGAGCTGCATTAGAGGATTGCTTGACCACGTGCGTGGGTCTGCACTTGGATGTGCGGTATGCTTTGATTTAGCAAGGGGAGATCTTTTGCCCTGCCCCTTGGCATTCCTTTAAAAAGCCCTTTAGAAGAGACAGAAGGGGCTGGTGGATAAGGATCCAGGCCCTCTCGAGCTATCTTATCTGTCTCTTTCTATCTATCTGTCTCTCTCCCCTCTATATTTCTATCTAAATATTTCTCACTTCTCCCTCCTCAAGAGTACCCTGGGGTAAAAGTGGGAGCAGGTCTCCCACATGCATCATGGGCATACACTGCCTGTGGAGGGTGTTGGGATCCCCTGGAAGTGGAGTTACAGATGGTTGTGAACTGCCTTGTAGATGTTGGGAATCAAACCTGGATCCTCTGGAAGAGCAGCCCATGCTCTTAACTGCTGAGCTATCTCTAAAAGCCAAAATATTTCTACAAATGAATCTTTTGCATTTTATGTGAATATGTTGTCTGCGATATGATAAAAATCAGTTTGTTAGCTAATCAGTCCTGTCTTGTTCATTTTCTCATGTTGAGGATTGACCCTACCTAGAGTCCCACATATGCTAACTAAGCATGTGTGATGTCATTCCATTACATTGCCCTAAAGTGTGTGTGTGAGTGTGTGTGTACTGAGTATATAGTCCTCTGTGTGTGTGTGTGTGTGTGTGTGTGTGTGTACTGAGTATATAGTCCTGTGTAGTCCTGCCTGCACTGTAATTTTATGTAGGCCAGGCTGGCCTCAGACTTGGTGTGCTCATCCCCCCTCTACCCCTTGTGCCGGAATTACCAACATATACCACCATGCCTGGCTAAAAGTGATAGCAGTGGCCTTCCTTAAGGGAATGTAACAGCCTGTGGGGGACGTTAGCCTAGGAAATTAATAGCTTTCTTCTGTGCCTTCCTCCATCCTTTGCCAAATGGTTGCTTGTGTAGTCCCACTGTGTGTGTGTTTCCTAAGAGTTAATAGCAAATTGTTTTGAAAAATTCAACCTGGCTGGGTCAGGTGTTTATGCCTGTGCTACTCTTGCAGGATGAAATCCATTCAGTATAGACTGACCATGGTCATCTGCATTCGGATACACCTTTAGCTTCTCGTTACAAGGCAATTCACGCTCAAATGAATTCTTCACACGTGTAGAAGTACATTGTATTAGAGAGCCAGTGTCCTCCAGCTTAAGTGTATTAGATGGCTCCACCACTTTCTTAGTAAGAAACTAGATAAATGGTGTTTAGATGATTGCACTCTACCCCCCTTTTTTTTAATGGGCATGGTGTTCTAATTAGAGACACTTAAGAAGAAGGAACCTCAATTGAGCAATTTCCTGCATCAGACAGGCCTATGGATATGTCTGCAGGGTATTTTCTTGATTGCCAATTGTGGAATGACCCAGTTCACTGTGGGCAGTGCTCCCCAGAGGGTGGGGCAGTTGGTCCTGGGCTATATAAGAAAGGTAGTTGCGTAAACCATAGGGAATGTGGTGATTTGAACAAAAATGGCCCCCAAAGGGAATGGCATATTAGGAGGTGTGGCCTCGTTGGAGGAAGTGTGTTGCTGTTGGGATGAGCTTTGAGGTCTCATATGCTTAAGCCATGCCCAGTGTCTCAGACCACTTGTTGCCTGAAGATCAAGATGTAGAATTCTCAGCTCCTCCAGCACCATGTCTGCCTGCATGCCACCATGTTTCCTACCATGATGATCATGGACTAAACCTCTGAAACTGTAAGCCAGCCCCAGTTAAGTGTTTTCCTATCTAAGAGTTGCTGTAGTCATGGTGTCTCTTCACACAACCCTAACTCAGACAGGGAACAAGCCATTAAACAGCACCATGGTCTCTGCCTCCTCACTGCCGGCCTCCAGGTTCCTGACCTAGCTCCATCGAATTAAGTCCTCTTCTCCCAGATAGCTTTTGTCGTGGTGTTCATCACAGCAACAGAACCCAAACAAGGACCCAGGGTCTCAGTGTGTAGCCCAGGCTGGCCTTCGGACTCAGACCCTCCTGCCCCATCTCCGGAGTTCTAGAACTAAAGCCATACTCCAACATGCCCAGCTGTGCACATTTTCTTTCACTTCTTAGGAGGTTAACATTATTTACCAAGAAAGAATTAAGGGAGGAGAGAATACATTTCCTTTTTCTTCTTTCTTTCCTTCCTCTCCTTCCTTTCTTTTTCTTTCTTTCTTTCTTTCTTTCTTTCTTTCCTTCCTTCCTTCCTTCCTTCCTTCCTTCCTTCCTTCCTTCCTTCCTTCCTTCCTTCCTTCCTTCCTTTCTTTCTTTCTTTCTTTCTTTCTTTCTTTCTTTCTTTCTTTCCTTTCTTTCACAGGGTTTCTCTGTGTAACTTGGCTGTCCTAGGGCTTGCTCTGTAGATTAGTCTGGGCTTGAAGTCAGAGATTGACCTGCTTCTGTCTCCCAAATTCTGGGACTAAAGGCATGCACCACTATGCCTGGTCTAAGAATACATTTTCTATCTTCTCACTTCTGGGACCTCTGGGGAAGGGAGTAGAGAATAAGTTGGGGGATACCACTCCTATTGAGAACAGTTCTTGTGAAGACCTCCTATTAATGAATGTCTGTTTCTGTCTCTGTCTCTCTGTCTCTCTGTCTCTCTGTCTCTCTGTCTCTGTCTCTCTCTCTCTCTCTCTCTCTCTCTCTCTCTCTCTCTCTCTCTCTCTCTCTCCAGGGTCTCACTGTGTAGTTCTGGTCCACCTGGAATTTGCTTTGTGGACCAGACTGGCTTCAAACACAGTGATCTGCTTGCCTGTGCCTCCCAAGTGCTGGGATTCAAGGAGGGACTCAAGGGATTCAAGGCGAGTGCCACCACACCTGGCCATTTTTAGTTTTTGTTTGGTTGTTGAGTTAGGGTCTTACTTTGTAGTTCGGGCTAGTGCAAACTCAAAGAAATCCTCCTGCTTCCACTTCCTGAGTGTGAGAGCTATAGAAGTAAGCAACCATGCTAGTCCTCTAAAATTTTAAAGTATCATTTAAACTAGTGAGATTATTAATAGTGAGTCTGTCCTTAAAGAGAGACTACTGGCGAATACGTCTCTGGGAAACAGGAGTTTTCCTTTTGTTTGTCAACACTAACCACTGGCAGGTGATTCCTGCTAGTGCCTTGCTGATTCTTGGTTTTGTTGTTGTTGTTGTTGTTGTTAGTTTGTGGGTTGTTTCTTTTTTTTCAGTACTGGGAATTGAATCAAGCCCTTACACATTCTGGGCAAGCACTCTTACAATGGAGACATATCTACAGCTCACAGTGTTCATCCTGAATTTCACTCATTTAAAAATGTACTTGACTTCCCCTTTGTCTGAATTTTTCTGACCTCTGTAGCTGTCCATCTGCTTCCTGAGACCTTAATCCTTGGAGTGTATTGTGTATTGGGCCATACTGGTGGGCCTGATTCCCAGAGGATATTGTAGGGAACCTGGGCTAGGGCGGAAGCTAGAGAGGTGTTGAGGGAGCTTGCCTCTCAGCACCAATCAGCAAAACCTTTTCTCCTGTCCCATAAATTGTGCCTAATTCACCTAGCTAACTCCTCATCCTTCAAAATCTTTGCCACTGATCAATTCTTGTGTTTTAGACGCTGTCTCAGAACTAAGATTCAGTTTTGGAGGGCTTTTCAGGCCTACCTCATCCCTAACTGCTTCCAGTGGGAAGTTACATACACTCAGAACCATCTCCCTCACCTCTAGGGTGAGGCCTCTGGATTCAGCTCTTTGAAGGGCCTCCTCACTGAGGAGGGGATGCCAGTACATGAATACAGGGCACACAGTTTCTCACAGTAAGGGAAGGGGCTATTGGCCCATTACTAGGACCTAGAGAGGTAGTCCTGGAAGCCAGAGCTTGTCAGGGCCAGCCCAGTCCCAGTGAGGGGTCAGGGTGCCGGTCTGTTTCTCTTTGCTGACTTTGGCCCCATATGTGTACTGGTTTGGATGAGAATAGTCCCCTTAGTCTCGTATTGAAGGCTTGATACCCACTTAGTGGAATTGTTTGGGAAGGGTTAGTGGGTGTGGCCTTGTTGGAGGAGATGTGTCATGGGGAGTAGCCTTTGAGGTTTCAAAAGCCCATGCTAGGCCCAGTATCTCTCTCTGTCTGTCTGTTTCCTGGGGGTCAGGATATAAAGCTCTAAGCTATGGCTCCAGCACCAGGCCTGTCTGCTTCCCACCATGGGAGTCATGGACTAGCCCTCTAAAATGTAAGTGCTCCCCAATTAAGTGCTCCCATTTGTAGCGTTGCCTTGGTCATGACATCTTTTCACAGCAATAAAACAGCAGCTAAGACGATGTGTGACATGGAATGGGCTAGGCCTGCTCAGTTCTGCAGGAATATGTACTAGGAATTTAGCTGGATATGATAAAGCTATCCCTGGAAAAAAATCAAGGAATTCTTCCAGAGGAACCCAAACCTCAAGGAATATGTGGTATTATTTGGCTTTTAATATATTAGCTGTTTCCTGCTATGAATTTCTTGTGTGCTCTCATACCTTCCCCAAGAACTTCTAACAATATGTTTTATCTGATATAGTTCTCTAGCATCCAAAGCCTAAAGGCAGACAAGACAAAGCATTTCAGACCTGAATTAAGTCTCCTGAATTAAGGTAAACACCCTTAAGGAGACAGGGAAACTTAGGTGCATAGCTTTGTTTCTTTTGCAAATGAAGCTCAGACCCTCCTTTCTCTTACAGGCCAAGTGGCATTCCAGAGCAATTGACTCAGAACAAAAGGGTTTTTTGCATACCAGGTGCAGTGTAGCTATGAGGCAGATTTCCTAGCTCTGAGCAGAGTTACCCCCTCCCCACCAGCATACGCCAACATTATAAGGATTATGTCCTTAATTACGTCACTAGCCTGCGATGGCGTCCCAGCCTAAAAAGCGGGCATGCTCTCTGTGCCCTCTCTCTCTTTCCTCACTCTCTGCTTCCATATTCTCCCCCCTCCGTGTGGTCTTTCTCTCTCTCTCTCTCTCTCTCTCTCTCTCTCTCTCTCTCTCTCTCTCTCTCTCTCCCTTCCTCCCTCCCTCTCTCCCTCCCTCCCTCCCTCCCTTTCTCTCCAATAAAGCTCTAGAAAGGTAACCATGGTTCATGACTCCTCCAACACTCTCTTGCATCAGCATGGCCGCAGCGGGCGGTGGCCAACCACAAGTGCCACCTCTTAACCAACAAACATAGGAATAGAGAGGCAGTTAGTTACATTTTAGTGACTTATACTCTCTTTACCTTACCACCTGTAAGATTGTAGTTTGAACACATTTATGATAAACTTGTAACTTTTAACCTAACCACTTAAAAGAAAATATTTTGAGCACATAAATTCCCTTTCTGACTCATTCCAGGCCTTATCTGACCCCATCTCCTCTATTCACTCCCCTTTTGGGTTGCCAATGAAGCTGGCTATCACTGCTCTTGTGGGGACCTTGGAAGTCTTGCGTTGTATTGTGAGAGTTACTGCTTGCAAGATCATATAGACTGGTGCCATGAGAGCTCTAGGTTGAATTTCAGGACCCTGTCTCAG